TTATGCCCTCACTGATTGACTTTTGCATGTTCCTGACCTGGAATTGAACTGCAACCCTGGTGCATCCAGACAGTCCTCCAACCAACTGAGCTACCAGGCCAGGGTGGAATACATAGTATTTTATGCAGCTTAATCATTTGGGAAATTTTAGGAGAGATTCCCGTAATAAATTCTTGGGTTTCTAAAATTTCAAATCTTCTAGTTCCCAATATTCATTTTTCCCATGGAAGTGAAACAGAACATAAGTCAAGATTAAATTCTCTTCCTGGAGTTCCCCTCTGGGGTATTAAAATAACAGTGTACGTGGGTTGTCTAGGATGGTCATAAGAATTAAGATTTCACTTATTCTTGCCTAGCTGAAAGTACTAAAAGGAGAAAGAAATACTGTGGTCAGAGAAAACTACCCAGCTGCCTCCTGTGAGGTACAGAACAAGTTACCAAGTGAATCATAAAAATGCCCTCACTGCCTGCTGTTTACCTTCTATCTGAACCAATGGCATCAACCTTCTCTTTTTCTAAACCACCAGTTTGGAGTTAGTTACCGTACAACATAATTATGTTGATATCTATAATATATGCCTCTTAATGGCATTTTCTAGAAAAATCATGAAATGATAATCAATTTATGTGTTCTTCTTTGCCTCACAGCTCACCAACTTATTTTCCATCCTCACATTTTCAGAAAAATGAGGTAAAACACCACTTAAAACTGCAAATATAAATTTCTTTAATCACAAATGGAGAACTTTGAGAAGAAACATATTTGGGAAAAAGAGAAGAAATGCACACTTTGTATTTGTACATTTTTCTCTTCCCCTTAGTGGAACTAGCTATATGAAAATAAGATTTTATGTGTAGAGTTACAGTTTAGTTCTTATCTCAATCGACTGTGCTTATTAAAAGTTCACTGTTGAAATGCTAATGTAGTAAGAGTATAAGAATGTTTAGCACATCACCAGTACCACATCCTATAGATCTCCAAACACTTTAGAAATGTTTGTAAATCAGTCCTGCTTATATTCCAGTAAATTATTCAATCATCAGAGCCCACAGATGGGGAACAGGAGATTGGATTCCCAAGTGGAACACTGTATTCATTCACATTAAAGGGAAGAGATAGGAAAGAGACTTAGTGTGCCCACACTGTGACAGATTCAAGAGCCAAAAAAATGCTGTTAGCCAAATATGCTACATGGCAGGAGGCCACAGCCAACACTCTCATAGTAGTGTTCTGGGCACAGGTTTTGGGTCATGCCTCTGCGTTGACGTACTAGCTTTGTTACTTCGAAACTCTTGAGCAAGTTTCTTTACTTCCCTAGCTTCACTTTCCTCAATTGTAAAATCAAGGTCATTCATGTAAGATCAAGGTCATTCCTACTTTACACAGTTGTAGTGATGATTAAATGAAATAATGCACTTAAGTATCCTGGCACAAATGGTAAGCTTCAAAGTTTGGTATTTTATGGCATTATTTTCCCCACTGGAATGTATTACCAAAGTCATAGCCTAAGTGAGAGAAGCCAGACCACTAGGATCCCGCTTCACATCTTTTCAAGAACAATGTACTTAAAAAGGAGATAACTATAAGCTCTTTCAAGAAAACAATTTGTAAATACCTTTGGTTCTAACCACCAAAGGTATTTACAGAGACTATCTAACTAGGCTTTGTATCAAAGGCCACATATCCTGAAGTTTAACGTCACTTTTCATCTATGTCCTCATGTATTCGTTCAACAAAATATGTATGGTGCACACTCCACACAAAGCATGGGTTTAGGTGCTGAGCATTGAAAGGTAGAATTGGACATATATTTCTGCCCTGAAGTTGCTTTGGATAATGGGACATGGGAAACGGACCAGGTGAAAAAGAGTAGACAGAAGAGGTCAGAGAAGGGGAGTTTTCAAAAACGTAGTGCCTGAACATTGGCAGTCTTAGCTGCTTTGGAGCATCAACATACTTGTGTTCTTGGATTCTAATATGTCTCTCTGTGCATCTCTCCCTCTTGGCCTCTGTACCCTCAGGTATCCCTTCTTGGCATTATTCCACATCTAAAATCTGAACTGTGACAAATTCATTCTAAGTTCTTTCCCCTTTTCAGCTACAGGACAGCTGCAATCCTAGAGAGGGAAGATGATGTGCAGTGGGAGGAATCACAGAACTCTTGGTCTTGCTCATCCTTTGGACTCCTGCTGGTGGGAGTGAGAGTGTACTGGGGAAACAGAGAGGAGGCCAGCAGTCCTAGGCAGGTGGGGGGCTCCTTGGCAAGCAGACTACTAGAATATGGAGCTGTGGAGAAGTAAGGTTTAAAGCTTACTAGTGAGTGATTTGTAGGGGAATCTGAGACTCCATTCTAAGGTGGTATGCAAACATGTGCTTTTATTGTGGGGGGGGGTTCAATTCAACCAAATTGTTCATTAACTAAGTACCAAGCACAGTTTCAGGAAATAGGAATATATCAATAAACCAGATTGCCTATGTTCTCTGCCCTCCTGGAACTTACACTCTAGAGGAAGATTTGCAACAGGTTTATTCTCCCAAAGCATCTGTGATGTAAAAAACGTTCAGGAATCAAAATGCTAGTTCTGTGGTTCTCAATGTTGTATATCAGCACCACTTAAGAGGAACCTTAAAAGTCCTTAGTTTCTGATGGGCTGGATGGTAGTTTGGGCTTGGGAAGGAATGTTTTGAAGCTCCCACTCATTTTGGTCCAGTCAGGTGTGAGATAAACTGATTGCTTCTGAGAAGAGCATGGCAATGAAATTTTCCTCACCAAGAAGAACCAAGAAAAACTGGCCAGTTCCTCCTTTGACAAATACTACAAGGCAATGGGATTTTCAGTTCTGGATATCTCAAGAGAGAAGCATCAAAGTTCTTTCCTTATATTGATTAGCTTAGGTATCCCCTTCCAACAAGTACTTTAAAAATATTTAAATGTATTTCTATATACTAATTTAAGCTTTAGAAAGGAGAGGAAGAATTATCATCATCATCTAATTTGAAACCCCCAATGATTTCCCAATTCCCTTTCCATATATTGTGATATGATTACTAATAGTATCAGTTTTGATTATACGCCACTTAAAAAGTATTCGCTTTACATGCTGGGCACTTCACAAGTGTTCGCCCATGTATACTACTAGAAACCATGTGAGGTATTGTGCTGCTCACTCGACGAAAGAAACGAAGGCTCCCGGGGTCTAGGAGCTCGCTCAAGGACACAAAGAGATGGACCAGTGGGAACCTAAACCCAGATCTCAACCCTGGCTGCTGCAGCATCCCACCCTACTGAGAGTCCGTTCCACTCACCTCCGTTATTGAGCACTTGGACTCTCTCCGGTGACCAAAGATAAACAAACAAGTTATAAATCACGGAGTAAAAATTTTGCTTGGGAAAATGTACTGCCCAGGCCGATTTGGGGAGTACTGGGGGAGGGCGGGCTTCGGGGGCAAGATATTCTTTGTCGGCAGCTCCCCAGCTCGGACAGAATCTCACTGTACCCTTCCCCGCCTTCCCCCGCCGCCCCAGGGCGGTACCCACCCCCGGGCTGCAAATTTCAGGAGGTGGCTGCCGCGTCTACGCCCCCGCGGGCGCCAGGACGGGAGTGCAGATCCTAAACCCGCGGGTGATCCTTATCTCCGGGCCCCGGAGCGGGTCTGCAGCCTTCCCCAGTCCGTCGGAAACTTGAGACCGACTTCAGAAATCGTTTCTGGAAGGGCATTTAAAAAGCCCCCAATCCACTATCACCATCTGGCTTATGTCCCTCGTCTGTAGTTTTCCCTCTGTCTTAAAAAGTTGGCCCCAAAGTTTAAGGGTGCGGATATCTGTGTGTGGGAGTGTGAGACGCGGTCCCAGAGGACCCCCGCCACCCCCACCACCTCTGGCCGTAGAAAGACCCAGCTCCAGGACCCGAACCCTCCCGCGCGGCGTGGGCAGCAGCAGACACCGGCCTCCGCGTAGGGCACAGGGGTATTGGAGGGAAATGTGGCGGGGTTGTGGGGCCGGGCGGTGGACGAGCTGGGCTGGGAGACCCGCAGCAGGGCTAGCCCACTGGCCGAAGGCGACTAGGAGGTTTAGGCCGGGGACCGTGTGTGAGTGTGAGGGTGAGGTGTAAGTCTCCCCCAACCCCCACCTGTTTGAAATGGTTTTAAAATGCCCAAACCAGATTAAACTGTTTCAAAAGTTGCAAACGGTTGGAGTAAAACTCGTGCTCGTCCCCCTAGCTCCAAAGGGATTTGCTGCATCCAGGGCACTGAACGAAAGGGGGTGATAAGAGGGGTGTGTGAGAGAAGGTAACTTGCCTTTCTCTGGAGAGTCGGTTTTAGGACCCAAAGGGAAGCACATTGGAATCTCGCTTATTGGGAAGGAGGGGTGGGGCGGGCTGGCCGGCTGGCGACCGCGGGGCGCATGCGCGCGCGTCTCCTCCGCCTGCCGCTGCGCTCCGCGGCGCGGAATAGAATGAACTGTAACAAAACAAGCCGAGCCTTTGTATCTGCTTAAAGGGGCCGCAGGCACTTCCCTCCTGTCCCCCACCCCCCACCCCAACTCTGCAACAGCGTCTCCCGGGCTCCCAGCAACTGGCTGGAAGGGCTTCCCTCACCCTCGGGAACAGCCCGCCAGCGAGGACAGGAGAGCCAGGCTGGAGGTAAAGAGGAGACTTTGCATTTCTAAGAGGCAAGAAAGAAAGGAAGGAAGGAAAAAAAAATATAACACAAGGGGCGCAGAGTGGACTCTGGTCCCGAGGAGCACGATCCGGCGCCAGAACGTGGACCGAGAAGCACCGGAATGCAAACAAAGCTCGCGGGCGCCGGTGCAGGGCTCGCGAGGAAGCCCAGAAAGTTTGTTTTATGATGGCTTGAGTGCGCGAGTGTGTGCAGGGGAGAAAGGCTGCCAAGTTTCTCTCTCTCGTGGCGTTATTTGGAGGGAGATGTCTCTCCCATGAACCAGTGGGGGTTTGGGGGCTGCGCTGTGGGGGGGCACCTGTCTCTCATTTCATTTTTTTTGGGGGGGGAGGAGGGATATAACTCGTCATGTCGAAAGTGATCCAGAAGAAGAACCACTGGACTAGTAAGGTTCACGAATGCACCGTGAAGCGGGGACCTCGGGGCGAGCTGGGGGTGACGGTGCTGGGGGGCGCGGAGAATGGGGAGTTTCTGTATGTCGGAGCGGTAGCAGCGGCCGAGGCGGCAGGGCTTCCAGGCGGCGGCGAGGGCCCTCGGCTGGGCGAGGGGGAGCTGCTTCTGGAGGTGCAGGGGATCCGGGTGTCCGGCTTGCCCCGCTATGACGTGCTGGGAGTCATCGACAGCTGCAAGGAGTCCGTCACCTTCAAAGCCGTCAGACAAGGTAAGACTGGACGCGCCTCGGGTTTGCTTCCAGAAAAGGGGAGCGGCCTGCGGAGTGTCCCTTCCCGCAATCCCCATTTAGATTTCCCTCTTAGCTCCTCTGAGGGCAGCTTAGGGGGGAAATTGAGGCTGTGCGCCCAATGGTAGGTTAAATACACAAAGTTGTGGAGAGGTTGCTGGTAGTTTGCCCACCTGTGTTGGGAAGAGGGGGTTGGACTTGCGCCGGGGAGCGGGGGGGACTTTTCCCCAGCTGGTTTGCCAACCTGTTATCTCAGCCACCAAGTGCAACGCAGCTACGCCTGCGCCTGGAGGAGAGTTGGGAAACTGAGGCTGGGGCCGAGTGGAGGCTTTCATGGCTCTTTGGGGGTGCGCTGCAGCCTGCGCAGTGCTGCGTTCTTTTGCCAATTGTCTGAGACCATACCTAGAGAATGGGTATGCACAAGGAGAGGATCTGTGATTGTTGGACCTCCTCCATTAGAAAATCGTTTTTACCCTGCAAACCTCCAGGTGGGTCGGGGTGCCGGATGTTCTTGAGCCAGCCTCCTGAAGATCCTGCACTCACCCCACAGCTGGATGACGCATGTGTCTCCTCCGTGTGGCTCAGCACCAAGGCGTGGGGGGTAGACTGGGGGAGGAAGAGGAGGATTATTTCCTACTTAGCTCGAATCAAGCCCCAGTCGATGCTGCTGCCACTACTATAGGCACCAATCACCATCAATGATGGTGATAAGGGTAACCACTATTCCGTATTAACTGCATGCCAGACTCAGTAAAAGTCGTTTCTTGCATTATCTTGTTCTGAGTCACAGCAATCCTGAGGGCGAGTTGTTCTTATAAATCCCATATTCCAGATAAAGAAACTGGGACTGACTTTGGTTAGGTTACTTGTCTAAGATCACAAAGATATGGAAATGAGGGTTTGAGCCCTGCTGCACAGCCTTAAGCACTGAGAAGGAAAAAGTGGGGAGCTGACCTTTGGGGAGGGGAGGGGCTGACTCGTGAGGAGGGAGTGGAAACAAATTCCTCTCAGAAGTGTGTAGAGGAGTGATTGCCTCTTTGATGGCTGCAGGTCATGGGGAGCTCCATACATCTCATACGTACAGGCAGGGGGTTATTCCTTTATCAGCAGTAAAGGCCTGCCTGGTACTATCCAGTGCCATGACACAGTTTCTCTCCTTAAAAGGGCTGGTGGAGGTGGCAGAGTGTGGCAAAAAGTTCCCATGTGTGCCTGGTATGCAGGGGTAACAGCAGCTGGAGGAACATGTCTAAGGAAAAAAAGGCTGGCTGGTCCTGTCTTGGAAACTGGCCTGTTCCAGATGACAGAGGAGACCAGGTGGAGTAGACCTAGCTTTTTAGCTTTGGGAGCTGAGGGGCTGACACTTAGCTATGGAAAGCTCCTTCCATTTATGTTCTCAGTTTCCACTTGAACACCTCCTTTAAGAAGAAGCTCTAGAGCAACCAGCCAGGGTGAACAAATCCTTCTTTCTCTGGGGTCCCATAAATGTGTGCCTTGTAGTTTTTCTTTATTTTAAACTGTGAGTTAGATCTCTTCTTGCCTCATTTGCATACAAAGTAGTAAGTTCACCAAAGGAAAGGGTGCTTCATTCATTGGTTATCTCCCCAGACTTTGCTTGAGGGCCAATCCCTGGCCTCACTGGAGACTATGTCCTCACAGCCAGCTGTAAACTGGCTTTCTTGAGGTTATTTCATAAACTGATAAGTGGAAAGTATGTAGAACAGTGCCTGGCACATAGTAAGTGTCCAATAAAAATTAGCTGTTATTGTTATATTTAAAATGAATTTGAGCAGTTATTTATTTCTAAGTCTAGCTTTTAGTGTTAGAAACTTGGCTTATAAGTTTCTTGTTGGAACTGTAGAGGAAATACTTGGTAAAATCATTTGATGGGAGTAGCTATAGGTCTCAGTTCAGAGCCATTTCTGGAGAAAGGACTGGAGGAAGGACAGCCAGGGGTACCTGGCTGTCTAGTGGGGGACCTCCAGGTGTCCATTGGGTTTTGTGTGGGAGCTGGTGTTCCACATCAAGATGCTGCGTGTGCTGATCCTCTTACACCAGTTATCAAAGATCTGAGAGGCATTGTCCCAGGGCTGCCTTGTCAATGAACTTAGGAAGGTTTGGTCAGATAATCAAGTGCCTTTGGAGTCAGACACCTCTGGGCTAGAAGGACATGGTAGTGTCTCCAAGTGTTATGTTATGTTATTCCCTTTCCCTGGAACCTTCGTACTGCACAGGAATGTTCACAGCAGGTGTGTGTGTGTAAAGCAGCTTGTCCGGTTTGTAGTGGGATAGAATAAAGGTGTGGAGGGAGACACTTAAACGGCCTGGAATCCACTACAAAATGAAAGTTACTATTTCACATGATAATTACATGGGCATAGTTAGCTCTTTAACGTTTTCATTACAGAAACATGGCACTAGAAAGCATTTTACTGGTCTTCTGTTCCTTCTTTTACATTGAGAATATAATTTAAATTATGACAGAATTGCTTTTACCGTGTCATTACTGTGTTTTAATCGTATTAGATAGTTTCTTACTTGGTACATAGTAAAAGAAAATGTTACTTTGGTGTTGTCTGCTCCCTGAGCTAGCTACTCCCAGGGACCTGGGTCACTGTGGGTGCTATCTATATGGAAATGTCATGGTCTTCTTCTGGGAGAAAATTTTGCTGTTTCCATTTAATGGCAGGCCTCTAGAATAATGCACACACCAAAATAGTCTATAGTAAATGGTATTACATGAAGCAGGATTGGATTGTAAAGGAATTAAGCTAAACGGATCTACCAGGTTGGAGTTGATTCATTTTAAAGGGAGAAGACAGTCTTTTGTCACAAAGTACCTACAAAAATTTATATATGTGTGTGTGTATATATATGCTATATAAATGTTATTTTAAATATAATAAAGCATATATGTATACTTTATATAGTTACCTATGGTAAAATGCACAATCTTAAGTATATGGTTTGCTGAGTTTTGCCCATGTATATGCTCATGTTACATTCACCCGGATTAGGATATAGAACTGCAGAGATTTCCCTCATGTTCTTTTGTCAGTTCCCCCCACGTCCTCCAGGGGCAAAGGCTATTTGATTTTTTTCCACCATCAATTACTTGTTTTTGATATTATTTTTAATTGAATTTATTGGGGTGGCCTTTGTTAATAAAATTGTATAGGTTTCAGCCCTGGCTGGTGTGGCTCAGCGGATTGAGTGCCAGCCTAAGAACAGAAGGGTTGCTGGTTGGATTCCTGGTCCGGGCACTGTCTTGGTTGTGAGTCAGGTCCCTGGTTAGGGACCTGTGAAAGGCAACATCACCTTGATGTTTCTGTCCCTCTGTTCCCTTCTCTCTAAAAATGAATAAAAATTAAAAATTTATACAGGTTTCAGAGAAACAATTCTATAACACATCATCTATATATTGTGTTGTGTGTCTACCACCTGAAGTCACATTTCTTTCCATCAACATATATTCCCCATTTCTGAGTTACTTTAGTTCCCTGTTGAAAGTCATGCAAATGAAATAATGCAGTGTACATGTACTCTTTGTGTCTGGCTTTTTTCACTCAGCTAAATATTTTTGGAGATTTCTTATTGTCGTGTGCATCATTGTTCTTTTTTATTATCGAGTAGTATTTCCTTATATATGCACACCAGTTTGTTTATATATGTATATATGTTTGACAGACTTTATTTATTTATTTATTTATTTATTTATTTATTTATTTATTGAGAGAGGGAGAGAAACATTGATGTGTGTGAGAAATACTGATCTGTTGCTCCTCACACTCGTAACCAGGGTCCCAGCCTACAACCCGGGCATATGTTCTGACCCAGAGTCTAAACCCAGAGTCTAACTGGGGACTTTTCAGTTTGTGGGACGGTACTCCACTCACTGAGCTGCACCGGTCAGGGCTGTCTGTGTGACTGTGTTTGTATTTAAATATTTTTATTTATATATTGTTTAGAGAGAGAGGAAGGAAAGGAGAAAGAGAGGGAGAGAAACATTGATCTGTAAAGGAAATATGGATTGGTTTTCTCTGTCAGGTCACATGGCCTGCAACCCTTCTGGTTTTGGGGATGACACCCAACCCACTGAGCCACACCCATCAGGGCAGTTTGTTTATGTTTTTGCTCATCAATGGACATTTGGACTGTTTATCATATTTTGGCTATTGAATAATAGCTAGGTGAATAAAGCTGCTATAAAAGTTCCATTTACTCCACATCTTTGCTAATCTTTTATCTTGTCTGATTTTTTGAATTTTAGCCATTCTAGTGTATGTGGAAAAAGAAAAAAAAACTAAGGAAATTTTGCTATAGGATGTAGCTAGTTTTTACTAAGCACTTGCTTTAGAATGTGCCAGGTCCTTGGCTAAGCTAATGCTGGATGGGTATTTTGTTCTTTTTTCCTCATAACCTAGATGTTGGAAACTAAGGTCCAGAGAGTTTGGATGGCTTTCTCATGGGTTGTACAAGTGGCAGAACTAGAGGTGGAACTCAGCTGTGTTAGATTCAGAAACTCATACTCCTAAATTACTGGGTCAGTGGGTCTCAGAGTACAGTCCCCAGACTACTGGCATTATTATTGGGTTGGCCAAAAAGTCTGTTTAGTTTTTTTCTGTAAAATAAAAAACAATTTTTTCATTTTCACCAATAACTTTATTGATTTGAAAATTTTGAGTATGTCGGCTATCTCCTGCTATTGGCCTCTAGTGGGTAGGGGCTGGGGTGCTTCTAAACATCTTCCAATGCATAAGACAGCCCCACAGCAAAGAATTATTTGACCAAAATGTCAATAGAACCAAGAAGCTTTGCAAACCACTTTTGACATGTTCAATCAGTCACAGGACCTTCTCCATACATTGCACAAATCTTTTTTTTTTTTGCATTTCAGTTGTGTTTTTCCTTTCTTTAAATACTAAATCATAATATACCAAAAATGTTGCATATTTTCTTCCATCTTCAATAGTAAAATGGCTGCA